CGCTCAGCATAATACCCTCAAGGTCCATCCATGGTGCTGCACATGGCCAGATTTCATTCTTTCTCATTGCCATGTAGTATTCCATGGTATAGATAAACCACATCTTCTTGATCCATTCATCTGAAGATGGACACTTAGGCTCTTTCCATGTTTTAGCTATTGTGGAGAGTGCTGCTATGAACATTGGGGTACATGTGCTCCTATGCCTCAGCATTTCTGTATCCCTTGGGAAAATTCCTAGCAGTGCTGTTGCTGGGTCATAGGGGAGTTCTACTGTTAGTTTCCTGAGGAACCTCCACACTGTTTTCCAGAGGGGCTGTACCAGTTTACATTCCCACCAGCAGTGTAGGAGGGTGCCCGTTTCTCCACATCCTCGCCAGCATCTAGAGTCCTCTGATTTGCTCATTTTACCCACTCTGACTGGCGTGAGGTGGTATCTCAGTGTGGTTTTGATTTGTATTTCCCTGATGAGGAGGGATGCTGAGCATCATTTCATGTGTCTGTTGGTCATCTGGATGTCCTCTCTGGAGAAGTGTCTGTTCATATCTTCTGCCCATTTCTTCACTGGGTTGTTTGTTTTTCAGGCGTGGAGTTTGGTGAGTTCCTTATAGATTCTGGATATTAACCCTTTATCTGATATGTCATTTGCAACTATCTTTTCCCATTCCGTTGGTTGCCTATTAATTTTCTGGGTTGTTTCCTTGGCTGTGCAGAAGCTTTTAATCTTGATGAGGTCCCAATCATTTATTTTTGCTCTTGATTCCGTTGCTTTTGGGGATGTGCCAAGTAAGAAGTTGCTGCGGTGGAGGTCAAGGAGGTTGTTTCCTGCTTTCTCCTCTAGGGTGTTGATAGTTTCCTGTCTCACGTTCAGGTCCTTTATCCATTTGGAGTTTATTTTTGTGCATGGTGTGAGAAAATGATCTAGTTTCATTCTTCTGCATGTTGCTGTCCAGTTCTCCCAACACCATCTGTTAAAAAGGCTGTCTTTTTTCCATTGGATATTCTTTCCTGCTTTGTCAAAGATCAGTTGGCTGTATACTTTTGGGTCCACTTCTGAGTTCTCAATTCTGTTCCATTGGTCCGTGTGTCTGTTTTTATGCCAATACCATACTGTCTTGATGATGACAGCTTTGTAGTAGAGGCTAAAGTCTGGGATGGTGATACCTCCCGTTTTGGTTTTATTTTTCAGTATTACTTTGGCTATTCGGGGTCTTTTGTGGTTCCATACAAATTTTTGGATAGTTTGTTCTAGTTTTGAGAAGTATGCTGGTGCAATTTTGATTGGAATTGCATTGAATGTGTAGAGTGCTTTAGGTAGTAATGACATCTTAACTATATTTATTCTTCCTATCCATGAAGTACATGCTTTTTTTAAATGTTTATTTTTGAGAGAGAGAGAAAGAGTGGAGGAGGGGCAGAGAGAGAGGGAGACACAGAATCAGAAGCAGGCTCCAGGCTCTGAGCTGTCAGCACAGACCCTGATGCGGGGCTCGAACTCATGAACTGTGAGATCATGACCTAAGGCAAAGTCAGACACTTAACCAACTGGACCACCCTGGTGCCCCACTATAAGTACACTCTTTCCCCACCTATCTCCCCTCTGGCAACCACTAGTTTGTTCCCTGTATTTAAAGTCTGGTTGTTGTTGTTGCTTATGTCTTGTTTTATTTGTTCATTTGGTTTTCCTCTTAAATTTCACATTTAACTGAAATCATAGGGTATTTCTTTTTCTCTGACTTACTTCATATAGCATTATACCCTCTACCCCCATCCATATTGTTGCAAACAGCAAGATCACATTATCTTTATGTCTGAGTAATATTTCATTGTATATATTGGTATATCTCATTGATATATATGTATATATTTCATTGGTATATATGTATATATACCACATCTTCTCTAACTATTCATGTATGGATGGATACTTGCAGTCTCTATCAAAATACCAACATTTGTCACAGAGCTAGAACGAATAATACTAAAATTTGTATGGAACCACAAAATATCCCAAATAGCCAAAGCAGTCTTGAGAAAGTAGAACAAAGCTGGAGGAATTACAATCCCAAATTTCAAGATGTACTACAAAGCTGTAGTCATCAAAACAGTGTGATACTAACACAGAAATAAGACACAGAGATTAACGGAACACAACAGAGTGCCCAGAAATAAACCCATGCATATATGGTCACGCAAACCATGAAACTGGACCCCTTTAATACACCATACACAAAAATAATCCCAAAATGGATGAAAGATCTACACATACTTTGGCTGTTCCTAAAGCTATTGTGAACTAAGGAAACAAGAGCTAGTTTTCTGTTAATGCTAGGTTTAAATGTTTATTTATTTTTGAGAGAGAGAGAGAGAGAGAGAGAGAGAGAGACAGCAGGAGCAGGAGAAGAGGAGAGAGAGAAGGAGATAAAGAATGTGAAGCAGGCTCCAGGCTCTGAGCTGTCTGCACAGAGCCTGACGCGGGGCTTGAACCCACAAATCGCAAGATCATGATCTGAGCGCAAGTCAGACACTTAACCAACTGAGTCACCCAGGCATCCCTGTTAATGCTAGGTTTAAAAGTGTTTCTCAAATCCTTGATTGTACCCCCAAACACTGGCATACAGAGGACAATGCCAACAAAACATTACAAAATTATAGAGAGTGTATTAGACAAATATATCTATTGTTTAATAGTCCCTTAATTCCTATTTTAATCAGAAAAAGTTTGTCATCAAGTCCTGTGTTCATTAGTCCACTTTCCAGTATAATAAGATGTCACTAATGCTATTGACTGGGGAAAACAGCTGTCTCAGTCAGTGGAGCACGTGACTCCTGATCTCAGGGTTGTGAGTTCAAGTCCCATGCCAGGTGTAGAGATTACTTAAAAATAAAATCTTTTTTTTAATGCTATTTTACAGCAAAAAGGGATAATGCAAACTTGAGATGCAATGAAAAAAATAAAAGAATTTGGGATGTCTTAGAAGTATATCCATAGAGGGGCGCCTGGGTGTCTCAGTTGGTTAAGTGTCTGACTTCAGCTCAGGTCATGATCTTATGGTTCATGGGTTCAAGCCCCACGTCAGGCTCTGTGCTGACAGCCAGCTCAGAGCCTGGAGCCTGCTTCAGATTCTGTGTCTCCCTCTCTCTCTGACCCTCCCCTTCTCACGATCTCTCTCTCTCTCTCTCTCAGAAATAAGTTTTAAAAGAACATTAAAAAAAAGAAGTATGTCCGTTGAGAGCAACCAGAATGATGAAAATGTGTCATGAACCACAATGACCATCTATCTCTGCAAAATTTTCCTAGACCTGAGCAGGCAGGTGCTTATGCTTCTTCTTCTTAAGTTTATTTATTTATGTTGAGAGAGAGAGAGTATGCACGCAAGCAGTGGAGAGGAAAAGGGAGATGGAGAATCCCAAGCAAGCTCCACACTGTCAGAGTAAAGCCAGACGCAGGGCTGGATCTCAGGAACCGTGAGACCATGACCTGAGCCGAAATCAAGAGTCAGTTAACTGACTGAGCCATCCAGGCGCCCCCAGACAGGTACTTCTGAAATCTTTGTTCCCAGCCATATTGAAGGATCATAATTAAGAAGTTACGTAGGAATGTGTGTGTGTCTGTGTGTCTGTGTGTGTCTGTATGTGTCTGTGTATCAGAGCCTCAAGGAGTCCCACAATAATAGGTCTTACTTACTAGCGTGAACTATGTGCCAGGCACCAAGAACTTGATGAGCTCTAGTTCATTTGAATTCATACACCAACCAAAATGAGCTGGGCATTACAATTCACAATGAAGAAACTCCAAATAAGAATGGAAATAACATGGCCATATTTAGCAACTGTGCCAAATAACCCAGGTGATGAGAGGCAGAGCTGGGACGCGGCTCACATCTGTAACCACAAAGCGCCAGTGCTGTTGGGAAGATCTTGCCCCGCTTCCTTCAAACTATAAAATCCTGTGAGTCTATTGACAGACGATAAACACTTCTCTTCATTCACATTTTATTTGAAGAAAATTACACCAAATGTCTGTTTCAAAATTAGTTTCTTTTTTTTCTTAAAAGCTTTTTATTTAGTCATTTATATTTATTTTAGTGTTTATTTATTTTTGAGGGTCAGAGAGAGAGAGAGACAGAATCCAAAGCAGGCTCCAGGCTCTAGGCTGTCAGCACAGAGCCCAAAGTGGGGCTTTAACCCACAAACTGTGAAATCATGACCTGAGCTGAAGTCAGACGCTCAGCCAACTAAGCCACCCCAGGCGCCCCTAAGACTTTATTTTCGAGTAATCTCTATACCCAACGTGGGGCTCGAATTCACAACCCCGAGATCCAGAGTCACACACTCAACTGACTGAGCTAGGCAGGTGCCCCTCAAAATAAGTTTCTAAACTGAAAATGGTCCAAGTTCATTTTTTATTTTTAACACAATCTTTTGGCAATTCATAAACCTTAAAGAAATAAGATAAAAACTCTTTTAAAAGAGAGGGCTTTTGTGTTTTAGGCAGTGTATTACTCAAACATTTGGAACAGGAAAAGATGATGAACTTAGACTTTTATCTCTATAGAACTGGAAAATATGAACCTTCTGATGTCCACATCTTCAGACAACCTTCTATACGTGTCTAACAGCTATAGCATAAACTCCTAGTTATTTTTGAAAAAGTCACTTGGGATGATTAACATTAACAAGAGACCAGCAAATATCAATTTAAAATATTTAAAAGAACAAACCAAAACTATTTGGTCATTAACTAGGCTTCTAAACATGCCATCCACATACTGGAAAAGCTAATAATTACTCTCTAATTGTGCTAATTATGTAATGACAACGTTGTAAATGTTTGTTTATATAATGTTAGATTTCTCTAACTAATCTTATCATTAGTCAGACTTTGGACTTCTGCCACTGTGTACTCATGTATATATTGGAACGTGCCAGACTGTTGGAGCATTTTACGTTTAAAACTGGTTGGTCACGTGCTACTAGTCTTCAAATCTGCAACTTACCACATCCTTAGGGGGGGGTTCTGCTTCCTTCTTTATCTTTTTTCCCATCCTGGAAAAAGATGCAGTAATTAGTCAAAGTGTCATTTGTACATTTTATATGCACAAATCTCTGTTACCTATGCCCTCAGAAGGCGATTTATTTCCCCGTTTAAATTTTACCTAAAAAGGAGACGACGCAATACAGGTAGAAATGATTGTACAAATACGTTACCTGCATTCCTGTGTTAAACTCCACAGTTTTGAGGTTTTTTAAATTTTTTAAAAATGTTTTATTTATTTCTGAGAGAGAGAGAGAGAGAGAGAGTGAGCGAGCGAGCAGGGGAGGGGCAGAGAGAGAGGGAGACACAGAATCTGAAGCAGGCTCCAGGCTCTGAGCTGTCAGCACAGAGCCCGACACAGGGCTCGAACCCACGAACCGAGAGATCGCGACCTGAGCTGAAGTCAGACGCCTAACCGACTGAGCCACCCAGGCACCCCAAACCTCACAGTTTTTAAGGAAGTTATTGTTAAGATTGTTGGGCATCAGTTCTGGCTTCCGGCTTGCAAGGAAGGGAACACATCAGTGACCTAACTTTTACTTACATAACAGCAAAACAGTTTACCATGCATATAGCTCACTTCTGGAGGGCTTAGGAGACAAAACCCAACTCACTTTTGAGATCTGCAAAAACGTTCTGCCACAAAGGGGTGGGTTTTTGTCTGCTTTCTCGCACGGATCTATCCCAACAGTATCTGGTACCTAGTAGGCGTTCAATGTTTATAAAAATCATTAACTCTGTTTTGCCTGGGAGTATGACTTTGTGAATGACACCTGAGATGTACCAACTTCAAATTAATGTTTGTGGCATTTTCCCAGCCAAAGTTTTCTCTAACACAGTCCATAGCGCAATAAAAAAAAGTAATTGGGAATCTGAAGAGCTGTGTTCTGGAGAAGCTGGGGTTATTGCTTAAAAGACTTTTTTCCACCTGCCCTTGTATATCCATTAACTGTGCAGACAACAATTCAGAGGATTGGTACTGATAGTTAATACACCACAGAGCAATAACTCCACGTGGGTACAGAGGACTTTCCAAGATGTTGATGACTGTTAGAATAAATAACTCTAGAAATCTCTTGAGTTTTCTCCAATGAGAGGTTATGTTTGGCATTTGGGCAATCTCAGATGGTATAAACAGGTCTCAAAGAAATTAGTATAGTTTCCAGAAAATTCCAAGAAGTCAAAAATCTTTGGAAAGAATCTACAATGTGAGGATTAGTTCAGATGGTCTATCAAGGGACAAAAGCAACTCTTGGCAATAGAGACCCTCACCAGAATTTATCACATATTTTAAAAAGACACCTGTTCATAGAAGCTCCCAGGGGCTTCTGAAAGACATCCAGATCTCTCAATTCAGGTCACATAAATTTCAATATCTTTGAGCATCTGGGCAAGCTTTGAGCATCTGATGCACTACCTCACAGCATATCCAATATATTAAAACATTAAAATGTACCCACATCCTCCATTAAATATGATTTTCCTCACATAAAGTTTTGAAATCAAGCGTTTGAAATTAGTCATCAGTTTGTATACCTCAAAATTCTTGCAAAATGAGAAAACTGTTTTCAAATATAATTTAATATTAAAAAACATTTACATTGCTTTTTCAATTTTCTTTTCAGACTTTAGATGCAATATTTTTTCCAGAACTCAAACCTCTTTTATAGGTGTTGGAAAAGCACACAGACCCTAGATTTGGTGTTTATGATATTCCAGGTAGATGCACAGAAACTATTCTGGACAAATGAAAATCTATCTTACGATTAATCTCTAGGAAAAAGAAACTTCATAGTGCTTTGTAACGAAATCCAAGACAGAGCAGCCTTTGATTTACAAAAGAACTCCTTATGAATAATGTTTAAGAAGGAACTGAATTATACCTGTCAGCTGCTTTTCACTCAGGAACTTATTTTTTCCCCATTTCAGGATAGTGGCTTTGAGCAATTGCATATTGAAGAGTACAGAGGTTAGAATTGCCTTAACACAGGACAATAGCAATGGAGCTGATCTCCAGGCAATACCGTGAAGTAGGAAGCATTTAGTTTGTGTTTTTATTACCATATTGAGTATAGTAGTTAACAGGGAAGACAGTATATATAACTGACATAGATCAGGGGCAATGAGCCTCAAAGATAACCGTAAGGTGTTTTTTCTAACTTTGTAAATTAAACATTTCACTTAAAATCAACATGATACAACCACATCATCTTATATCATTTCATCCTTTAAAGATTTGTTTGCCTCTAAAACTCCAGAGATGTCACATTAAGAAAACAAATCCTGGGGCACCAGGGTGGCTCAGTGAGTTAATAGTGCTGCCAGCTCAGAGCCTGGAGCCTGCTTCGGATTTTGTGTCTCCCACTCTTTTGAACCCTCTCCTGCTCGAGGCTCTGTCTCTCTTTCCCTCAAAAATAAATAAATACTTAAAAAAATTTTAAAGAAAACAAATCCCTTTGACTTTTTGAAGCAAACCTGCTTTGACTATTTTACCACCCTTCCCATAGATGTTTCTTATTGTGCTAAAACATACGTAACATAAAATTTACCACTTTAACCATATTTAAATGTATAGGTCTGTGTCTACTGTCCACTTATAGAGGTGAGACATTTCGTTACAGGAAATGTGGAAAACAAGGAAGGGCACGTGGAATAAAAAAAATCGCTCTGGAATGAAGTCAGGGAGATTGGCACTGTTTCAGTATAGTTCTTTTTTTCAGTATGTGTGTGTGTGTGTGTGTATGATTTTACCATGCTATAAGGATTTCTGTCTCCTTTTCTCAACTCCCTTTCATGGAACCATTTTCCTACTATATTCTTTTGTTTTTTAATATAATTTATTCTCAATTGACTAACGTACCGCATGTACAGTGTGCTCTTGGTTTTGGGGTAGATTCCCGTGATTCATTGCTTACATACCACACCCAGTGCTCATCCCAACAAGTGCCCTCCTTTCCTCCTATATTCTTAAACTAATGGACAAGTTCGTGAAATCTCTGAGTCTCCATTCATTGCTCCAATCATCTCCAATGAATTGGCATATCATGTCATTTAAAATAATATTGTAAAATCCACTATTTATCTAGACAGTGCCCTATTGTTGAGCATTTGTTTCTAATTTCCTGAAAATGTGCATAAAGCTGCAATGGACATCCTTAGACATAAAATGTTCATCCACATCCTCAGCTGCTTCTTTAAGATAAAGTAAAATAACTGGATGCAAAGGCATGAACTTCACGGCATTGAGTACAAAAACAAATCTGCTTTAAACGTGCATCTCCTCGATTATTAGAAAGGAGCTACACTTTTCCCCTCACAAACTTTTCGATCCTTTGTACCTCTTTGTGAACTTTCAGCCTGTGCGATCTTCAGTGGTTTCTAAGGAGGAGACTTATTTTAGAAAAATTTGAAGGAAAGGGGAAGGCTAGACAAAGTGGGGACTCTCTCCCTGAATTGCTGAGAGTCAAGTAACGGCCCTCTAGGGGCCTGTTTTGTCACCTGTTAAATGGAAGGAGGCCAGGATGCTAATGAAACCCACCCTGACCCTCCCCACCCCCCCTCCGCCCCGCTGATACTGCGGGCATAAGGCAGGGACCGACAAACCCTAAGAAGGTATTGGTTCCGTCCGTTGGCCCAGATGTCCCCACGCGCTGGGCACCTTCTCCTCGCCCAAATTCTGCGGGGACCTCTGCCCTGGGCCTCTCCAAACCGTGGGAGTAGCTGCGCAGCCGCACACCTGCCTTTACCTGCCTGGGGTCCCGCGGGGCCGCGGCTCCTCACACCTGGGGAACTGCACCCGCCGCCGCCTGCGCGCGCCTCCAAGGCCGCTGTTGTTCTTGGTTGCTAGGCGACGCCGGGCCGCGCCTGCGCACGCCGGGGAGCGCGCGCCTCGGCTCGGAAGCTCCCGCGCCGCTGCCCCGGAGGCTCATCGTCCCGCCTCGGAGAAGGCGTCCGCCGGGAGCGAGCCTTGATTGTCCTCCGCTCCCCGAGTCCAGCGCCCTGGGGCGGGCTGGACAGGGGAATCCTCCTCCTCCTAGTTGTCGCGGGCCGGGCCAGGTGACACTGTAAATCCGCAGGCGGCACAGCCTCAGCTTCTAGCCCGCGGGCTGACTCCGAGATGCTAGTGCTTTCTCCCAAACACGGGCTTCAGCTGGTGACTTCCACGTCACCACTTCCTGCCCAGACTCCCCTAAGCCGCAGACCTGCACGGCCCGCTTTCCAGGCACAAGGGTGTCCAGTCTGTCCTCACGGAACTCGTCTCGGCCCTTCGAAATCTCTTCCACCGATCTTTGCTCTTTATGCCTTTCTTCCCAATGGCCTAAGACCTCAGTTTCCCTTCTTTGTCCGCCACCGTCCTCCATCCACCCCGATCGGCAGTTAAGTCAACTGACCCTCTTCATTTTGTATCCTAATCTGTTCCTTCTCTTTAATCCTTACGGTCACCCCAGTCCAGGTCATCATTTTGAGCTTCTGGTGACTTCGGTTTCTCTCTCCCTCCTACTCATGGGCCATACCAGGGACCATACCAGAGGCAGATCAACCTTCCAGAAATTCTGGCTCTAGATGTGTCACTCTCCTTCAAACTTCAACTTCAAACTTCAAACTTCAGCTCACTTCCTAAAAATAAAGTCTGAACTCATTCGCTTGGTATGCAAAATTGTCAGGTCATTCCCTATTTGTGCAGCCCATCACCCCCCGCAACACAAGCCCCAGCGAAACGTACTGTGACCCCCAAGTTTTCCATATGTTTCTCCTCCGGATTTTGCTCACTGTCCCGTCCTCATTTCATCTAGTCAACAAATATTTATTAAGCATCTACTATTTGCCAGGTCATGTGCAACTCGTGTAACTCCTGGAATATTCTTTCCCTGCCACTTAACTAAGCCCAGATCAAATGTCATCTTCGTGCCATACTCTTTGATTGACTTTAGTAAAAAAATAAAAATAATAATAATAATAAATAAATAAATAAATAAATCTCTCTTTG